GTTTGCTGCTCGGTGTTTGCGGCTGTCAGCAAAGCCATGGAGGAGACACAGCTCCCCACTGGCTGAGCGAGGCACCACTGCCCTGCTGGCAGCACAGGCCTGACCCTGCCTCCCCTCCTCTGCTCCCCAGGCCGACTTCCACATCTCTGAGGACTGTGTCGCCCAGTGGAAGCAGAGAAACTTCCTGACCAAGCTGGGTTCAGTCTCCTGTAAAAGCCTGAAGGGAGGGAGCATCAGTTAACAACCTCCAGAGCTGCTGCTTGGCCTCCTGCCTGGCCCCCTCCACCACCACCCGGCTCTGCTCCCCGGTCTCTGCCATCTCGTCCACAGTGCCCCAAGCCTGGGGCTCAGCCCTGCAGGACCTGGGGGCTCATGGGGACTGAATTTGCAGCCTCTCATCCTGAGAGCTGCCTCCGACCTCCCCTCGCCCTGGGCCCGCTCAGGCAGCGTCCGTGCCTCGGCTGTGGGCTAGTTCTGGGACCTGCGTGACTTGTGCCTGTGGCCTCTGGCTCGCTCCCAGTTGTGCCATGGACTGGACACCCTGCCCACTGGTCCTGCCTGAGGGCAGGAAGGGAAGGCTGCTTGCTCAAACCTGCATTGCTGCTAACGGAGCTGGGCCAGCACCCAGGCGGGCCCCGTCCCCTGCTCTGCCTGGGTCCCCCAGCCCCACACCCACCCACCCGGGGCTGTGGCCGCTGCTGGTGCTGGTGTTCGGCCAGGAGGCACTGGCAGGGTCTATCCTGAACCCGTGGGAGGCTCTGGGAGGGCATGGGCCTTAAATACTGACTCGGGAACCATCTGTCTGTCATACACCCCAATAAAACGTCCAGCTGCCTGCGCCCGTGTGTTCCCGTGTCTGTGGGAGGGGGCTGAGCCAGCAGCCGGCCCCACTGCTGTGTTTTAGTGCTGCCTGAGCCCTCTGCATCCCCCTGTGGGAGTCTGTGCCTGCCCCGGAGCTTGGCACCGCTGAGAAAGGCAGCGGCCACATGCAGGGAGGCCGTGGCCATGAGCCAGGAAGCACAGGAGGCAGCGAGCTTCGGTCATCATTTTTACCAGCCAGGTACAGAGCTCTGAGCAGCTACTCGGCGGCAGAGGGTTTGGTTGCTTTCGGTTTGGTTTGTTGGGGTTTTCTTTCGTCGTTTGTTTGTTTGTTTGGGTTGTTTGTTTTTTTTTTTTACAATCAAAGAAATCAAAATATGACCCGAGTTTACAGAAACAGAAATCAAGGCTCTACCCCAGGGCCTGAAACCAGCTCATGGGGCAGCCAGGCTCCCTTTTGGTGCTGGCCAAGAGTCCCCTCTTGCCTTTCCAACAAGGGTCGAGGTCCTGGTCCCTCCCAACCAGCGTCCTCCTGCCCGCATCCCCCGGGCGCTGCCGTGGCCGAAGCCTTCCCCATCGTGGTCCAAAGTGCTGTGATCCCTTGCGGGCCCGGCTGGCCCGAAGCGGCTCCGGCTCCGGCTCTGGCATCTTCGGTCCCCGCGCTCCTCCCTGCGCGGCTGCTCTGCTCCACACGCGCAAACCCAGCGGCAGCGAGGAGGTGCTGGCTCTGGGCACGGGCCTCCAGTCCCAGTTTAAAAAAAAAAAACAACCAAGCAAAATAAAGCTGTAGTACTTAGGAAAGTGAAACCAACACCATTTTTGCATAAATATCATCAAGGCCGTGGAGGCTAAGGCTGTTTGCTTCCTGTATTAAGTTAGTTGCCAGTTCCACACTCGTCCGTTGACCTGCCCAGGTCCCTGAGAGATTTGGATTCCTGTCCGTGGTCCCAGTTTAAAAAAAAAAAACAACCAAGCAAAATAAAGCTGTAGTACTTAGGAAAGTGAAACCAACACCATTTTTGCATAAATATCATCAAGGCCGTGGAGGCTAAGGCTGTTTGCTTCCTGTATTAAGTTAGTTGCCAGTTCCACACTCGTCCGTTGACCTGCCCAGGTCCCTGAGAGATTTGGATTCCTGTCCGTGGGGGCACCAGTCCTGCAGCTCCGTCCTTCAGGCCGTGTCTCCCCGTCCATCTGCAAGGCAGGAGGGAAGAGCCCATCAGCCACCCTGAGCCCCAGTTCCCATGGCCCCAAGCTGAGCTCTCCCAGTGCCACCAGAACCCCAGAATGGCCCCAGGGAGCCTGAGTGCCTATGGCAGTGTCACCCCATGGCCACCGTCCCCCGTACCTTGCGCAGGGAGGCTCTGAGCCGGTGGCTCCGTGGTGCTCCTGCCCTCCGTCCCCGCCGCCTTGCTCTTAGTCCTGCTCTCATCCGCCGGCACTGCCTTGGCCTTCCCGTCCGGCACAGGGGAGCTCAGCGCCTCTGGCCCCGGCGCCTTTGGGCTCAGGGGGGAAGGAAGCGGCCC